AAGGAAGGAAGGAAGGGAGTGGGGCCGGGAGCAGTTCCAGGCAGGGGAAGGCTCCATGGCTGTTTCCAGGCTGTGGGGCCATTGGTAGCCCCTGCACGTACTGTCACTCTGCCGTACCCAGGCTCCTTTGCTCGCTGTCTGGGTTTCCAGGTAGGGCTGGGCCACAGGCATCTACAGGGGGCAGAGCATCCCACCCTGGTCCCTTGTTCCAAGGCCAAGGCTTCTGGCAAGGCTGGAACCTCACGTTCTGTGGTGGCTCCCACTGAGGCACAGAAGCTTGGAGAGCCGGCCTCAGGCACTGAGAATATACCTGAATTTCAGTCTCAGATTTAGCGGTATAATCTTAAGTCATTGGGTCATTCTGAGCCTCAGTTTTTCTCTGCAGGGCAATGAGTACCTAAGCCACTGGGTTATTCTGAGAACTGAATAATTAAATTCTGCATAGCTCATAGTTCATGCTCAGCAAGGGGGTTGCTGGCATCTGCCCTAAGGACCTGCAGTGTGTCTTCAGCCACCCAAGCATTTAACCGAGCTTTAGTGTCAGAAGTACATGGTCATGAACTCATCTGAACGCCGGGTTGTAAAAGCATGAGTTTCTTAAATATAAGGCTTCTTGGAAACTGAAATATAATGTCTTTATAAGTGTTTTCTTCTAAGCCACGATGCAGCAGCGAGTTGAGGAGGAACCCGTTTTCCTTTACTTTCCAAGCGTTACCAGGACACTTATGCATTCCAGGACCAGATTCTAGAGGTGACTTATTAAAAGAAGAGTCTTTTGGCAAACGTTGCTTTCAACATTTGGGTTATGAATTAACTCTTAGTAACTAATCTCACCGAGAAAAAGTTTTAATTTTTTTCAACTTTGTTTTAGTACATGTTTGCAGTGCATAGTGCTTGCATGCCGTGTGTGAAGTTGGGGCACGTATAAAACACACGTTAATTCCTTTGTACATCCCCTTTCTCTTCCCTCCCTCCTGCGTCCACCCATCCCTCGACCCCCTTCCTTTATTTTGTACGTGTTGGCACTACGTGATGTTTCTGCCCCAACTTTCTCATGCTATATTCTAGTGGGTAGGAATTTTAAATCTGGGAATGCTGTGAATTCTAATGCTATGACTACAAATTACTGTTGCAGCTAGCACTTACTGAAAGCTTACTAAGTGCCGGGCACTGTCGTGTTTTGCATGTAATAGCTCATTTGTCATCGGAGACAAGTCTGTGATTGGTGCTATTATTAGCTCTATTTCACAAACAAGGAACCAAGGCACACAGATGTTGAGAAACTGACCCCTGGCCACACAGCTGCTAAGCAGGAAGCCCGCACTCAGACACAGGCAGTCTGGCTCCTGTGGGTGACAGCTCCGCATAGACGCGGCTCCTCACTGTCCACTAATGTCAGCACCCTGAGTCACGCCTTTCTGCTCTGTCATGGAAAGATTATAAAATTTCATCTTTCTCATCGAAGAACTCATTTTCATAATTTAAAAAGATTTATCCTAAGGGATTAACATTACTGCTTTGTTTTTATGGTTTCTTTCGTTTCATTATTTATGGACAGGTAACTTACTTTTTACTTAACGAAGGGATAGCAATTTTTACTTAAAGTGAAGCTACACCGTTAACTTCTGAAGTGTACTGATTTGAGTTTAAAAATATGCTTGCAGGAAAATGATGCAATACGAAATATGATCAAGCGTTCGTGGGTGTGGGCAAAACGGCAAGCGGCTATGACCGCGGCTTGCTGAGCACCAGAGCAATTGCGCTGTCTCTGGTCAGTGAGCTGGCGTTTGCCTGGAAGTCAAAGCAACAGATGACTCAAAGGTCATTGACCGAACTGGCAGAAAGTCTGACTAATAGACAAAGGGAAGAGCGGAGGACCAGGGGCAACAAAGAGAAGGTATATAGAAAAGAAGGACGTGTAACATCTTACCACCCTGTACATAGCAGGATATGGACTTCCTTCGCCCCTACCCAGGCCGGTCCCACTTCAAAGTGGTAATGATCCAATGGTTTTATTTTTCATTTCAGGAAGCTCAATTTTTATACTGACCTTGTAGACCTCCCAGGTCTTTCAATTGACACAAGAGCTTTATGCAGATTCCCACATCCTGCAGAGGGGCCACTTGGGTCACGCTGAGCAACAGCTGGTCACACAGAACAGGCCTTTCCTCAGTCTGTCAGTGCGGGGCAATGGGACTATCCAGCAGGACCCAAGGAAAAGGGTCTTCCCAAGCTCTGCTACGGAAACTTGGATGAGATGCATCACCGCTCCCGTTCTGGGTTGTGGTTGCCCCATCCACCAAGTGAGGCAGCTGTTAGGTCATTTCAAACTCCCCCTTGTGACTCCTGTGATTTTTTTTTTTCTTGACTGAAATAAAATATGAGTAGCTGGTTTCAGGCCCTTTCCTGAAGGCAAGATTCAATCCCCAGGAAGGTGGAAGGGATGCAGGTTCTGGAATGAGGAGGTAAGGTCACCCCTGAGAGGTGAAGCGAGAGCCTCCTCGGCTGTGGTACAGAGGCGGACCCATCCCCCGCTGCCTCCCGATCCTCTGGAGGCGGGTCTCACGTTCTACAGTCTAGGTCATTTCTTCTGGAAAAATTTATGTGGACAAAGTGACTTCAGCCCCTTCTAGGGATAAATATGCTTATTTTTAATTATTAACTGTTTAATGCTGCTACTGAAAATATTTATTCTAATATAACTCTAAAAATGTGGGTGTTTTTCATGCCTTGACCCATGGCTGATTTCTTTTCTTTCTTTCTTTCTTTCTTTCTTTCTTTCTTTCTTTCTTTCTTTCTTTCTTTCTTTCTTTCTTCCTTCCTTCCTTCCTTCCTTCCTTCCTTCCTTCCTTCCTTCCTTCCACCTTTCTATCTTTTTTTTTTTTTACCTTTTTGAGACAAGGTTTCATTATGAAGTTTAGGCTGGCCTTGAACTCACTTTGTAGCCCAGGTGGGCCTTGAATTCACAGCGATCCTCCTGCCTCAGCCTCCCAAGTGCTGGGATTATAGGCCACCATGGTGTGCCACCATGCTCAGTGCTTGGATGATTTCTTATCTGCTGCTGCCAAGAACAGGACAGTAAAGAAAACTGATGAATGAAGCTGGTACCAGGCTCAATAAACTTAATTTTTTTTTTTTTTTTTTTTTTTTTTGTGAGACAAGGTCTCACAGTGTAGTTCAGGCTGGTTTTGAACTCACTATGTAGCCCAGGCTGGCCTTCAACTCATAGGAATCTTTCTGCCTCAGCCTCCCAAGTGCTGGGATTACAGGTGTCTGCCACCATGGCCTGCCAATAAACATCACATTTAAATAGTTTTCAAACTGCATATCTTGTGCTTATCACTGACATTACTACTTTTGTATATTTTAATTGCATTTGGAGGGCAAATGAGAAAAGGGAGCCACGGCGCAGCCTGGATAACCGTGGTGTTTACTGCTTGGAGGAAACAGAAGTTCCTATGGGCCTGGCTGGATTGAGAAATGACAGTTCAGCCTAGGGAAGCACATTAGCAGCAAAGCAAGAACAAAACATTTGAAGAGATCTGGCCAGAACTGGTCTGCACAAATTCCCCATCTGGACTTCCTCCTCCACTCTGCCTGGTTCCCAGGCGTGGCCCCTAAACAGCAGTACTCTTGTGCCCTGCAGCAAACATGTCCACACTGCCACTGGGAGCAGGCCCTGCAAGCCCTCTGCCTCCGCCTACTCTGCCCTCAGCCCTGGGCACGGAAGCCAGACCACATGTGGTGCGAGGAAGGGCGAGGAGGGAGAGGAAGAAGCTCAGCTGGCTGGGCCCTGGCTCCTGAAGAAAACAAGCTGAGGCAGAGCAGAAAACACAGTGTTCCCTGCAATTTGATCACTTCCATGCAAGTCTCTGGGCCGCACACCCGGGGTCGCCCGCCTGCCAAGGCCCAGAGGCCAAGGTGATTAGAGCAGGCAGGAAAACAGAGCTGGTGGTGGTTCCCGGGCAGATTAGAAACACACTGGGGGGCAGGGGGCACGCAAGGGTGTGTCGGCAGCAGGGCTACAGGCTGGGTGTGGGGCTGGAGCCGCTCTAGGAGGGGGTGAAGAACAGTGGATGTTGCTCTGTTTGTGCTGAGATTCCAGCTCCTGGGGTGGCCCCTGACAGCTGCTGAGGTCTCCCAGGGAGAAAACTGTAGCAACAAAGGCACTGGAACAAAAGGGTCTGGCCAGAGGGGTGCCTGCCGGCTTGAGGGCAAGAGTTCCCCTCTGAGGGGTGCAGGACAGCTATGGGGCTCAGAAGAAGGGCGCTCACCGAGGAAGAGCGCTGATGAGGACCGGGCACTTCCTGCGGTCAGGCACTGTGCTAGGTAGGCTCTTATATACCTCGTTGGGTTTGGGGGTTCCAGAATGCAATTCTCACTGAATTGGAAAATGGGAAGCAAGTAGCCCCCACCCGCTTCCGCGGGTCAGTGACATGTAGAGTTGCCCAATATCACACCAGCACCATTTGTTTGAAAGTTAACCAGAGGCCAGGAGGGAATTTTATCACCGGGAAAACCGTACAGCATATGCACTTTAGCTTTTAGCCCAGACAAGGGCACGCAGGGGTGCCAGGGCTAAAGCACTCTTCACGCCTTGACCTTTTGGCCACCACCAAGGGACCTGCGGGACACTCTGCCCTGCCGAATTCTCTCTGTGGTGGGCTTCTGGTGGCTTCTACTCTAGCGCCACCTGGTGGCCCTGGCTGTTAATCCCCGCTGATTTGGCTGGGAATTTCTGGTTGACAACCTCTAGTCAAATCGCCCCACCCAACATTCTGAAGGCCCACCTGTACTTCTGCTGCCACTGATCGCCACATCGCTGTCACTCTTGCCATTTTCCACAATCTTTGTTAGTTCGCAGTTGCTTCAGCTCACTAACTCACCTCCATTCTGATTTTCAGGGAACCCCTGCCCTCAAACCAGAGTGACCTTCCTTTGCTTCTTAGTGTTTCCAGTGTACCATCCTTTTCACTTGAATCTTGTTTTTCTTCAGATTTCTAGAAGATCCTTCTCCCTTCTTCCTCCAAGGATTGGGGACATGTTTCTGAGGACTTGGTTTGACTCTAGTGAGTGGCATGTTGTACTATACCCCATTGGAATTTATGCTTTCTACCAATACTCTGTCAGTGTCCATGCCCAAGGCTGGGCTCTGGGCATCCTGGCTCAGCCCAGTTACAGGGCAAGTTGCTTGCGCATCTGTGAGCCCTCCCTGAGAACACAGGTGAGTGGCTCTGCTATGATTTCCATGAGGATGCTCAGTCCTGGTGTCTGATTCTCACCCTCGGGGCTTTCCAAGGACAGGGGGAAAGTTGCCTTAGGGCCAGTGGAGATGAAGGCCAAGTTTGTTTGTTTATTCACTTCTTTGTTTTGAGATAGGTTCTCATTATGCAGTTCAGGCTGGTCTTGTACTCACTATGTAGCTCAAGCTAGCCTTAAACTTGCAGTGATACTCCCGCCTCAGCCTCTTGAGTGCTGGGATCACAAGCTTGTGCCGTCACACCTGGCTTAAAGGCCATGGTTGAGAGAGAAGAGAATTTGCTCACAACGCAAGCTGCAGATGCATTTGGATGAGCAAATGTTTATTGCAAAGCAGGAGGAGCCATGGTGGGGATTAGAGAGGCTGGGGCGGGCCAGGAACATGGGGGAGAACAAGGGGACAGAAAAGAGGAAGGTCCTGTCTTAGAGGAGCCCTAATTGCTGGTTAGTTAAATGCTTTTGACCACTTTCCACTGCAGAGTTTCCTCCAGAATCCTGATGCATGAGGTAGCAGCAATGATTCTACCTATCAAAAGTGCACCTAAGTCAAAGATCACATACCACTTTTATTGTCATGAAACGTAGCTGTAAATTCAACATACAGAAGGTGGATTTCTTCTGTTCAAGCTAATTAAAGCAGGTGTCAGTTTGAATGAAAAATATATCAATCAGTAGGATACAACTTGTAGAATTTATTATTCTGTAAGACCATTTACAGGCCCGGGAATCTGTATCTTTTATATGGAGATGCTGGTGGAAAGAACTGGATGAGATAATTCTCAAGGGCCTCTTTAGTTCTATAGTTCAGCTGCTCCAGGAAGAAAAGTTCAGCTGAACTCCAAACATGGCGTGGAGTGAAAAGTAAGGTACCAAGAAGAGAGGAAATTAGCAAGACATTAAGAACTCAGAAAAGTGACTTGAAATCTGATGCTGGAGAAGAGCGCAGCCCATCTAAGCATCCCAGTCACAAAGTCCTTCTTGGTCAGCTCCCAGCTGCTGGCAAAGGACCAGTCCTCACGACACAAGAAGGAAAAGTTGGTGTTTCTTTGATTTCTGGTTTTTCAGTTCAGTGTATGTGGAATCGATTTGGGTAAGTCAGCAATTCAGCAAGATCAGCTGTCTGCAGCAACATGGAACAACACAGTGAGCAGGAGGAAATAAATCTCCCAGTCTCTGGATGACCTCCAAACTTCTACTCCCCACTTCCAAAAGCCAAGCCTTTTGTTTGAAGGTAAGGCAGCACAAAGATAACCACACATTAATTCCTTGAGCTCAGGCAGGTAAACAGCTAGGTCCAGACTAGACCGTGTCGTGATCTCACCCAGCCCTAGGTCACAGGCATCTGGCAGACAGTAGCTACAGGAAGCATTTCTGCTTTAGAGGATTTTTTCCAGGCCCCACTTTCTGAGTTCTGCTATGATCTGTCTCCTCTGTATGCTGTTTTCTCTCATTCTTATTCCTGGAATTTCCTTGCCCAAGTCCTCTGCTTTGATGTAGACTCTTTGGAAGTTTCTTCTGAATTTAACTTTTCTTTTCCCTGGAACTCCTTTCTCACTTCCACGCACTATATCTCATGTCTCAGCGCTACCCAGTGGGTAAGTGCAGGCCTAAGTCAAGCCTAGGAACTGAGGGGGCTGGGAAATTCCTGCAGCCAGGATCACTGGTTTCTAGAACACAGCACTCAGCCTGTGTGCAGGTGTTAGGGCTCCCGCTCATCTGGAGAGCAGGCTCGGGTTGGACTCCACAATCTGCCCAGGAACTTGATGTTTCCATTCATGGCAGCACAGGACCTGAGAGCCAAAGAGGCAAGAATAAGGTACAAGTTAGGAGTAGTTGAGGAAAGAAATGCATTCTGGGTGTTAGTAGCCCATACTAGTTGGAGTACTCAGCTTCTCTCCACTGGCAGGCAGGCCTGAATGTGTTCAGCTAGTTTCAAGGGCTATAAAACGAGGAGGATGAGTCGTTCTCATCCCTGGTTGGATCTCAGAGCCACCAGAAGAACTTTTAATGGAAACACCAATGCTCAGGCCCCATCACAGAGCAATGGTCAGTTTCTCGAGTTGGTCCCGACAGCTTTTAAAAAACATTCCCAGAGATTCTAATGAAGGGAGGGAAAAGCTGGAAACCCATGCAGCTTTGGAACCAGTCCTGGATAGGGCATCTGAGTAGTCCAGGAACAGGGTTGAGGGTAACATGGCCCTCTGTCTCAGGGCTATCCAGTGGGTAGGTACAGGCCTAAGTCAAATCCAGGGAACTGAGGGGGCAGTAAAACAAGGAGGGCTATCAAACAAGGACAGATTTGCATCCACTGAGATTACATGAGAATCAGATCCCTTTCTGGGTATTCAGTGTCAGTTGTCTCTGTCTTTCTCAGCTGCAGCTGGCCAGATTCTTCTAGAAACAGCTTGACTGGTAGAGACAGCCAAGGCTTTTGAGCCACCCATGAGCTTGGATCTTGGCCATATCACTTACGAACTGTGAGCTTGGGTCAGTTTTAACATCTCTGAAGGTATCCTGAGAGTTGCAGGAGATGGGGTGTTTAAGCACCCTGCATCTGGCAAATTTAGAACATATGTCTGTTCCCTTTCCTGTTACTACCAAATAGTTCCCCTCACAGACCTTCTCTAGGTGATGAGACAGCCTAGGAGAGATAGCACATGCACCAGATATATTGCTCACATTCTGTGGGAGCTGGGGATGAAGTCCCACAGGCAGACCCAGCAGGGAGACTGACCATGACTGCTGAGTACCCATATTGCCCCACGGTCTGTTTCTCAGTCAGCTCTTCCTAGGAGCCAGTGTCCCAGGATCTGGATGCCCAGGCTACCACTTAATTGTTTTAACTGCCCCTTTAACTGCCCCTCCCTATAATCCCACATATTGTCCCAGTCTACATGCTTGGAGTTTTGACCTGAGCTAACTGTGCTGAATTTGTTCTAGTCATCACTCCCTCTAGGGAGACCAATCTTGAGCTTCTAACCTGGTACCTCACTTAACCCCTGCCGTTATTCCTCCCTGGGACCAGCGTCTGGTGCTCACATCTCAGCCCTTGTGTTTCTAGCCTATTGGCAGAGCTTCCAGTACCAACTTCTGCCTATCCAGCCCCATCAGTTCCTGGATTTGACTTAGGCCTGTACCTACCCACTGGATAGCACTGAGACAGAGGGCCACGCTACCCTCAACCCTGTTTCTGGACTACTCAGATGCCCTGTCCAGGACTGGTTCCAAAGCTGCATGAGTTTCCAGCTTTTCCCTCCCTTCAAAGGAGTAAGTCCCCCTCTTGGCTCTGACTGAGCCAAGTTGCAGGTTCTGACCCCTCCCCTTCTACCAACCCTAATCTCATCATTTTCCATTCTAAACTATCCCAAGCCACACCATTCATGCATTGTATACACTCAGTGACTAATTATGTTTGCTGTAGAGTTTGGAGATAAAAAGAACAACAGTTGATCTAAGATGGAGCAGTCTGCCTAGAAGAGCGCTTGAAAAAATGATTTATACAGATGGTGAGGTGTCTTTAGTGTGTTACTAGTAATACACTAATCTAATCTTTCCTGAAATCCAAATCAACTCTAATATTTCAACCATGCCTCTAGCTTCTGCATTAATTAAATCAATCCATACCTGTGGATGAGGTAGCCCAGGGCCATCGTATCATTCTGCAAATTTCTCCCCAAAGTCATTCATTATAGTCATTCAGTATAGACATTAAACTCATACTGACAGCTTGTAGGGGACTAGGATGATTTCAATAGCTTTTCTACACCAACAAAATGTCCAATGTGAGTCAGCTTGGGAAAGCAGGCTAAGAGTAGTCTTCTAACACAAAGTCCAAGTAAAGATGCTAGAATACAACCTATGATGGCAAGTCAGCATGGAATGTCACTTATGTTGAATCAGAATCCAAGGCTATCGCTGAGATAACATCACAAGGGCAGCAGTTAGTCTCATTTCATGACCAATTCTGATCAACCTACAGTGGCTTCTTACAGCATTCTCCTAAAAGAATCTGGGGGTCCAACCCAGGCTGCCTGAACAGGAATGCATGATCAGTCATGACATCTGATCAATACTGTGACAGCTCAGTACTCAAGAGCATGGGTGCTGTCATTAGACAGATGAGAGTTCAAGTCCTGCCTCTGCTACTTAGTAGCACAGTGACGCTGAGAGAGTTGCTAATTAATTTCAGGCTTGTTTTTCATCAGAGAACTTCAGGGAGATTATAGCACCTGCCTCACAGAGTTACTGTGAAGAATAATCAAGATAATTCACGTCAAGTGCTTAGCACTGTATCTGGCACACACTGCTCAATAAACATTAGCTGTTGCTATCATAAAGAGTGACACCTGGGCCCAGGTGTGGGGCAAGGCAGCTTGTAGTCAGCACACCTGCCGTCCCAGTTGCAGGCTTATGAATCCTTGAAGAGATTTGTGATTAGGACACCTTTCAAAGGCACTGGTAGAGATAGTTGACATTTCTTACTTTCTAGGATATTAGCAAAAGATTTTTAGTGGTACTGTTAAGTTTTAGTCTAGAGACATGTTTATTTCCTTCATGAAAAGCAAATGCTACCTCAGGATCAACGAGCACCATAAACCCTCATTATAGGTAAATTCAGGTCTTAATTTGACCTTATAACTGGATCCTAATTGTTTATAGAACAAAAAGAAATTCTTTGGCCTCCTCTGTCTGACTTCCAACCTCATCTTCTGACCTTCCTGTATATCCCCTAACCCCCAGTCAAACTGTACAATTTATTCCCCCAAATCATTGTATTCTTCCCTACTTTTGTGTCCCTACACATGTTCCTCCCTAGGATTTCCCACAGTGCCTGTGTAGACATTATATCCTAGAATAGTTTGTGTAAGATTGGAGTTATTTATCCATTGACTATTTGGCTGAACTTTCCAATGAAGCAATCTTTGATTAGGATTTTGTTTGTAGAAATATTTTTAATTACAGATTTAATTTCTTTATTGGTTAAAGATTATTCAGTTTTTATATGTTAAAGAGAAAGAAATAATAAAAATGGTACAAAATTTCAAAATAAGATAATAGGAGAGTAATGGTGGTTAATGGCATATCATTATCTTCAAAGTAGTTGCTTAGATTACAAGATACAGGCATTAAAAATCAATCAAACAATATAAGCATAAATCTTTTCAATGAACTAATATAAATTAGTAGTATAACTATCTTAACTATCCTGTATGTGTATATGTGTGTATATATATATATATATATATCCTTTCCTCTTCCTTCTTTTCACCTTTCCCCCATACCAGTTGCTCAGATTTTATATATATTTTTAAAGGCATTTTGATAAATGACAGTTGTATTTTCTTTTAAGAAAATGAATCAACCTTGCCGTTTGTCATATGATCAAAATACTATCAAAATATTTGTGAAAATTTTTAATAATTATAAAATTGCATTACAATAAAAATGTGCACTTAATTTAGAAACCTCCAGAAAGGTGATAATTATTTATGTATCTAACTATATAAGTGTAAGTGGCCACACAGTGATTAGTTCAGAAAATCTCAAGATTTGTAAAACTTTTCAGCTTGCTGAGGTTCTATAGTTAGAAGACTGTTTCTCCTAACAAAAACAGAAATGGAACTTTAACAGAGCAATGTTTCGTCTAGCAGGAGACTACCTGTCTTGTCCTTAGAGGAATTAGTTGGATGTGCACGTCCCCTGTAACTTTTCCCTTTCACTGACTAAGAGATTGTGAAAAGCGGATCACTTTCTTTGGATCCTATAACAAGACCCACACGGTGAAAGATGTCTGAGCCATCCACTGATCCTAGACTACCAACTTCTGCATGAATACATAGGAAAAAAACTATCATTATCTTATTTAAGCCATTGCACTGTTGAAACACATTTTGCTGCAGTGGAGTCTATCCCTAGATAAAGTGTTTAATAATGGGTGGGCTTCTAGCAGGATTTTAGTGCTGATGTCTTATATCCAGTAGGATTTAGTTCTAATCCAACTGAAGTATGTCAAAGGGAAATTATATCTGGTGGAAATATATTTTTAATTGTATAATGCTTAGTTTTCTCTTTTCCCCCTTAGAATGGAACATACATTTTTATTTTTCATGTGTCAGGCCCAGTGGCACATGCATGTAATCTCAGGTACTTGGGAGGGACAGAAGGACTCAAGTTCAAGGTTAGCCTGGGCAACTTAACAGGACTCTGTTTCAAAATTGAAAAAAAAATTTAAAAGAATTAATGTAACGGCTAGATAATTACCTATTTGAAGATAGTAAGCCACTATATTTTTGTTCTAGGAAATACTTAGTTCTTTGTTTTCCTGTGGTTTCTCCATCTGTGAAGACATTGGCATGCCTTTCCTTAAGTGGGAAGTTCAGACACAACCAAGGGGTCTACAAGCACACTCAGGAAGATGACCTGGTGGTGGCTTCCTCAGCAGACTTCATAGGCTTGACAAGTAAGCATGTTATTCATAACTTTAGAGGGTGCTGGACAGCAAACAAGAAAAAAGTCCCAAATGTCACAAAATCACCAAGTTAGAGTCAAGTCCTATAGCTACTCCATTCTTTGATATTCTCCTTGTGGCATTTAGCTCCTCCTAAAACAAGATGCATGCATCAGAATCCATAGATATCCTCCCACAGAGCCAGAGATTTTCATGTCACTAGAGGAAAGGGGAGAGATTGCAGATTGCAGCCCAAATTGGAAGAGGCCTGGCGGGAATGGTGGGGGAAAGGTGTACTTCTTAGGACAGAACAATCCAGATTCAGGTGTAGCTAACACTCCAGGAGCCTCTCAATGTTCAACTGTCAGCTAGGAATGAAAGCAGCAAAACAAAACTGCGTTCAACTTCAAGGTAACAGATAAAGAGAAACAAGTGCATAAATAAGAAAAGAGAGTAAGTCAACTGGTAAGTTTTGTAGGAAGTAGGTGGCAGTTTGGAAACATTATACCATGGCTAGGAATGGGGATAACATCAGGGCCTCTCCCTGGGTTACCAGGAAAATAGCTGTTTTTAATCTTGCTCAGTGGGAAACTGGTAGCTGAGGACATTGGCAGCATTCTGAAGCAGATTGAGTGGGCCAAATCCTTTTCTAAGAGTTCTCCTTGTTTCCTTGTAACTTAGTGTGAAATCACCCAGGTACAGCAACAAACACTAGAATTTCAGTACTAGACCCAGCCTCAGGTCCTTATAGCTCGTGTGCTATTATCAGATAGGATAACCAAGGCTTGCAGAAAAGCTGTGGCCAAAGCCATGCAGCTATTGAATTGCAGGTCCAGGAAAGCCTAGAACAGCCAAGCCTTCTCAGTTTAATGTTGTTTTTCTAGTACACAGTCTGATTCCTAATACTGTATGTGGCTTTTGGGAATTATTTCCTAATGGTACCATGATATCTGTGTATTTCTGTAATAAATCTTGCTTGTAGTTAATGGCAGAGGTGTTGACAGCCCTTCTGGTACAAAGAACTATCTTACCAGTTTTTAATTTTCTTACTGGACACTGACTATAGGAGATTAAAATATGCATACATTCCATTTCCTACTTAGTAAAACAAAATTCCTAAAAAAACAAAACAAAACAAAACAAAACAAAATTCCTAATGTAGTCTTGCATTCTGAAACTGCCTCTGGACTAGAAAGGTAATGTTCAGGATATTTACTAAATGTCAACAAGAAAATAGCTTTCTTGTACTGAAAAGGCACTTATCACCTAGCCCAGGAGTGGAAAGTGGCTTGAACAGAGAAGCAGCGACCCTATGAGACAAGGTGGAGTTGTGAGCTTAAGTGATCAGCTCTGTGAAGTTCCTGGAGAGGAGATTGGTGAGAGCTGAGGGTGACCAGGGACGGCTTCATGTGGGAGGTTGGACAGGAGAGTCTGCATATCTGATGAATGGGGGCCCCATGCAGAGGGAAGGAAGCAAGCAGGGTGAGGGCAGAGATGTGACAACGAGCAGAACATTTCCATAAAGAGATCACTGAACTGCAGTAGAAAAGAGTACGGCAGAAAGGGGATAGGGTTGGCTGCTATAATGCTTGATAATTCAGAGAAGATTACAAAGAAGCCATATAAGAACTAGAAGCCACAGAGATTTTAGGCAAAGAAGTGATATGAAAGTAGTTGTAAAGGGTGATCCTGTATATAGGACACATAGACTAGAATCCTGTGAACCAGGCATTACATCTGTATTGCAAGATCAAGTATAAATCATTAAAGGCTTCAACAAGGTGCCCCGGTGTAGAGGGAATATTGTGTGTACCATATGTCATGGTGCCCTAAAATACTTTTGTTCTTTCTTCTAACTGTAAGTGACAAAACATCAAATAGTGTACTATATTTCTCTCTTTCCCTCCCTTCTTTCCTCCCTCCCTGTCTATGTTTATGTCTGTCAATATCTATGTCTATGTCTATCTCTCTATTATCTATCTATCATCTATCTATCTTTATTTATTTGATTTAGAAAATGTTTAATTTCTTCTCT